TAGCCTAGGCCAGGCTGGGAGTGGGGCAGCACTGCTGGGAGGGGGCTACAGGGAGGACTGGAGCCACCCCAAAGTTTGCTGTAATGCCCTGCCTGGCCTAGGCCAGGCTCTGCTGGAAACAGCCTCGTGCAGCCACGGTCCCAGTCCACCCCACCCTGTGCAGATCTGGGGGCACAGGCCCCCACCTCCGTGACCTAGACAAGCAGCAGGAGCAGAGGCGGGAGCTGGCCCATGAGTGGCGCGTGGCGATGGGAACCGCCTCCCCACCCTGGTGCCTCCTGGATGAGCCCTGCTTCATCCCCCACCCACCCTTCCTCAACAGCGCTTGCCCCAGCCCCTGCCTCACTCCCTCCCTCCCTCACTGCAGGGGCCTTTATCACCCCCGCGCCCCCCACTTCCACCACAGCAGACTACCAGCTGGAGGCAACTGTATCAGAAATCAGATCAGTATCAGCTGATATGCCTCCATAAAAATTGGCTGTCGGTATCGGCCCCAAAAATCTCTACCTGTGCACCCCTACTTGAAAGCATTGCTTGTATCTTTACCAAAAACATGCTGGCAGTGGGAAGTGGGAATAAATTCAGGCCATGCAACACTGCATAAGCTGGCTCCTTTATTTTTCCCTAGCATCCTCAGAGCTAGAAAACACATTCTTAAATATTTTTCTCACTCAAACCTTGTGGTGACTTTTGATCCTTTCATTCCCTTGCCTGTTTCACAAACACTGGGATGATTGCGGTATATAGGAGGTGTCTGTCATTGTTGAATGCCTGACCAAGTGGCTTGCTAATGCCAGTTTTGTTCTCTCTTCAGATGCTGTCTTTCTGATTCTGTATAAGGAGCTGTATTATAGGCATATTTATGCTAAAGTCAGTGTGAGTATCTGCCATCTTATCCTACTGGTTACATGAAGTGTTAGCTTTGTCTTGTTCTGTAAGTCTCGTCTTCTCCTGCCTATGAAGAGACTCTGTAGATTAAGTCTGTGCCTGCTGTCATGTGATTATGACAGGTTTGAGAGAGCATGTACAGGATGGAGTGGTAAAGCCTCAGTTGTTTTCTGAAATTTCACAAGTTCTTTTTCTTTCCAAGACGCACAATCTGGCTCCTCAAATTGTTTATAAATAGCATAAAGCTTTTAATGGAGGTTTATAGAGAAAAGACGACGGCAATGTCTCCAGTCTGATAAGTCTATAATATAAATTAGGCAACAGCATATGTGGCACCTGATTATGGGGTGGGGAAAGAAGAGAACAGTAGAAGGTAACTGAATCCCATCATTGACAGAACAGTGATTTCAGGGGAAATGGATTATGGAGTTTCTCATGTTTTGTGACTTCTGCTTTAATTAAAATGGAGACTGGTAGTTGAATACTTCAGGAGAAATTAACTTTGTTTGAGGTGTAGGG